AATAGGGAAAAACATTGAATCTAAACTAATGATTCTAGGCAGAGCCTAAGCTTTGAGGAAGCTATTTTGAAGAGGATTGATCAGTAGGAGATGAAGACCACATCCTCTTCCACTGTTCTCCCATTTTCCCTTCTCTCCTACCTTCCCTTTCCCCAAGTTGACCTTAGACAACTCCCCTCTCCATGGGTCTTCTCTCTGGCTGCTTAAAAATCCTCACCACAGGGGTAGAACAGAGAACTGTGAATAAGGGAAAAGTCACACTGAGATATACCTGAAAGAAAGAGTTGGAAAAGAAAGATTTTTGTCCGTATGAGTGTGGTGACAAGGCAGCCAAGTACTTCCCAATCCCCACCCTACAAATATCAATCAAACTACAAATATACTGCAAACTACAACTATAAATCAAACCATCAATTAACAAAATCTTGAAACTGAATATTGTGTGATTATGATGACCAAGGTCAACCTGAAGAAGAGATGAGATGACAAAATCTACCTTCCTCTCGTTGCAAAGGTCTATGGGTATAAAATATCACATATAATGTCACCTGGGGTATGTGGGGTGTTCAAGGAAGACTAGCACCTCTGATGAGAGGGCTTGCCAAGCTCTTTCAGGGCTGCTCATCCAGTGTTGGTGTCCACCTGTCACCCTGCTCTTACCTGTGGCTGCAAGAAGCTGTAGCATGTGCAGCAGCCTCACCCCATATAACCATCTCAGCAGACCAGCTAAACCAGGTTGAGGGAAAGCGACAGGCCTCAAGCACCTGGGTGACTTAAGGAGATGCCTACCAGTGGAATGGGAAGATGAGAAGAATTTGTCCGATGACCATGAAGACAGTGGAAGCAGGCACTGTGGATCACTTAGAGCTTGGTGAGACATCAAAGACACCAAGGTCATCCACTGCATCCTGGGCCATTGCCAGTCATCTTGACTTTTGCCTTGTCACTGGACTTTGATGACTCTGGAAGAGAGACCAAGGCTGATGACTTTGGGCAACTCTGTGTCACTTAAATCCAACTCACACACAAGTCAAGACCTCACCTTGTGATGTCACTGGTCTTCTTCAAAAAATGAAGGACAAACAACAACAACAATAACATCACTCAGTTGAATATTAGTTGATTTGCTTATAATATTAGTCAAATATTAGTTAATTTGCAACAAGTTTTTTTGTCTTTCTTTTTTATTCTTTATTTAAACAAGGGTTAGCTCCTTCAGTCAGGTGTGGGCAAGGCTATATTTGAAAATGAAACATAACAAATAAATTTTTAATGTAAATAAAACCATCCTTTGGATGCAAGTCTCAATCTAGATTTTCATTTATCTAACATGACCTGGATTAGATATTGACAATATTCCAAATGTTATGTGCCAATTTAGTGGTCCCTCTTCTGATATACCAGGAGTTATAGAAACTGGGGTCATAATCTTACATTGACTTTTCTGAACAGGTAATAAGGAGGAATAATCATGGCAGACTTTGTAAGAGAGGGTAGTGGAAGGCTGTGATTCTCACAAGCATTGATGCACTAGATGTGAGTAGTCATAACCAGTCCGTGTGCCCACTTTGGCACACATGTTGTATAGCCGACGCCCTGCAGTACAGATGCACTAGGACCTGTTAAAAGGGCTTCATGGAAGAGTCAGATGAGCTAGTGACCACCCAAAGCATTTATTTGGTCTGTCATTAGGACCAACATTCAGAAAGGAAAGGACAATAGGATAACACAAAGAACAAGGAAGAAATACAACTGCAATTGTCAGCATTGTAGGAGAAAAGAATTCATAAAGATTCTTTGACTGGCTTCTCCCAGAACTTAGTACATTGCTACAAAAATCTCTCTCTGTTCTTCCTGGGTTACATCCATGGTAACTCCAAGTATCCCCATCCCACCCTAACAATGCTGAAAAGGTTAACCCAGGAGTGGGGAACCTGTGGCCTCAAGGCAACGTGTGGCCTCCTAGGTCCTTGGGTGCGACCTTTTGACTGAGTCCAAGTTTTACAAAACAAGTTTTCTCCAAGGGATTTGTTCTGTGAAATTTGGATTCAAAGGGCTGCACTTGAGGACCTAGAGGGCCTCATGTGGCCTTGAGGCCACAGGTTCCCCACCCCTGGGCTAGGTGTTTTATAGGCACAGGTGAAGCTTTACTCAGATCTAATTCATTTTCTGTCTCTGAAGTCACAGGCGGGTAGGTGCCCATCTCTGAGGCTGCCTGGGGAATAGGAATTTCTAGCCCAGAGGATTCCGGAAAAGGAAGTGGACACTGTTCAGGATAAAGAGACATGACTAAGATAGAGGCAGCCTGTTTGAGAAACACTGGGCTTGAAAAATCAATGTGGTACTTTCTGAGCTTACCAAGATAAAACTGAGTGAAAAGCCTGATTAAAATGAAGATAGTTTACATATCTTATTTTTGCTGTTATTATGACATGCTCCTATATAGGAGAAATAAATTAAATTGGTCTGTCATTATTTGTTCTTCTCAAAGTTATTGTGGTTGAGTACTAGTATCTTCTGGTTTTTATGTGGTTGCTAAGTGATTGCTTGGTTCTTTGCGTTATCTCCCAGATAATAGTGTTAATGTTCTGCAATTACTCTGGTTGTATTGTTATCCAGAGGAAATATAAAGAGGGGAGAACAGCTAAAAGGGGTCATTAAGGGCTGTGACTAAGTGAAGCATCTGGTACTAATTGAAATTTCTCTGATTTAGGTCATGGAGGAGGGGATGATACATAGCTGAGAGACTCATGAACAAGTAGAGGTCAAAATTATAAGACAAAGAAGGCAAGATCTAGAACCCGATAGATGAGATCTAGAACCTGATAGATGAGATCTAGCCTGGAACTGAAAGAGCTAGAGGTGGTTCCCTGGCTTCCTTTAAGTCCCAACTAAAATCCGTATCCTTCAGGAAGTCTTTCTCAATCACTTTCAATTCTATCCTTTCCTTCTTTCTTTATTTTCAATTTGTCCTTTATATAGTATGTTTGTACAGATTTGTCTGCTTGTCTCCCCCATTTGATTGTGATCTCCTTGAGGGCAGGGACTTTCATTTGCTTTTTTTTTGTATCCTCAGCCTTAGCCCAGTGCCTAGCACATAGTAAGTGCTTAATAAATATTTATTAATTGACTGCCAGGTGGAAAATGATAGCTGAAGTGGAGGCAAGGTCAAAAGTAGTGGTCATAACCTGGTCAAAGAAGGCACTAGCAAATGGTGAAGCCCAGGGTTCAGTCTGCAATAGTCTGGTATCAGGCAAATAACAAGGTTTGAATGAGATGATTCAATTCCATTAGATAAGCACTTATTAAGTGCCTACTATGTACCAGGCGCTGTGCTTAGTAGGAGTCATATGAAGACAAAAATGAAAAAGGGTCCCTGCTCTGAAGGAATTTACATTCTACTAGGGGAGGGGGATAATGTCTTCACATAGAGGTATATTTAAAATCTATACAAAGTAATTGGGGGGATGGGAAAGGAAGAAAAGAGGTGAGCAGGAAATGCCTAGTGTAGGGTTGAGCTTTGAGTAGAGTTAGGTATTCCAGGAAGCAGAGGTGAGAGAGAACTCTTCAGGAACGAGAGACATGTATGAAAACAAGTTATCCCAATCCACTACACTTGTTTGCTCTATGGACTTAAGCAGATATTCAGCTGATTCTCCCATTTCTTCTGAAGTCCTTGCAGCTAGAGAGCTCCTGCCAAAGCTGCCATCCTCATTGTACTCCTGGGCAAAGTTCAAGTGCACGTGGCATCTGACAGTGGTCATCTACCCTTCTATTTTCAAGACGAGCACATTGTTCTCCCTTTTCCAGTGCTCCAGGACTAATCTTGTTCTCTTGGACTGTCTTTAAAATAATAGTTTAAAAGGTGACTATAACATCTCTACTCTTCAACCCAGAGTTCCCAAGGCTAGGCATGTGGTCCAAGAAGAAAAACAAAACAAAACAGACAGATGGAAGAAAAGGTTCTATGTACACCAAAATACCCATGGCAGCACTTATTGTGGTAGCAAAGTATTGGAAACAAAGTAGGTACCATTGATGGGGGGATGGCTGCACAAAATGTGGGGCATGAGTGTAGGGAGATCTCATTACACTATAAGAAACAGTGAATATAAAGGATTCCATGGGAAGACTTGCATGACCTGATACAATGCAAAGCAAGCAGAGCCAGGGAAACAATGTACACAATGACAACAATGTAAACTGAAGGAACAAAAATGCTCAACTGAACACTGTGTGATTAAAATAACTAAGACTAGCCTGGGAGAAGAATTGAGAAAAAGCACCACTCTCTCTTCACTTTTAAAAGTGGGAGACCATAAATATTAAATACTTCGTATAGTGTCAGACAGCCGATTTGTTAATAGATTTTGTTCAGCTGTTCCCCCCAGCCCCAGCTTTACATTTTTGTCACAAGGGATGGTTCCCTAGTTAAAGAAAAGAGAGGTCAGACATAATGCCTTAATAAAAGGCATTAGTAAAAAAAAAAAAAAGTTAGAATAAACTATAACAGCTACTGACTTCCTAGTGGGCTCTGTTAATTCTTTAATTACTTTCAGGTGGGGGTCCTTAATGTTGTGCTGAGTTAAATGCTTCCACTTTTGTGTAGGTTCTCTCCTTTTCTGTCGGGTTAGAAACACCAACTTGAAACACAGAGTATGTGAATGTGCATGGTCTCTTTGGGGAAATGAACTCTAACGGTGGTTCATTTTAACATCTTGTTACTGTTCAGTTGTTTTCAGTCAAGTCTGACTCTTCGTGAAAGCACGTGGGGTTTTCTTGGCAAAGATACAGGAGTGGTTTGCTATTTCCTTCTCCAGCTTATTCCATCAGGAAACCGAGGCAAACAGGATTAAGTGACTTGCCCAGGGTCGCACAGATAGCAAGTGTTCCACAGCTTTTTCTTTTGTCTTGGTAATTACACGCAAACACACACACAGAAGCAAAAAGATGGATATTTGGCCAACTAGGTTGACTATTTCCTTTCCTCTGTCTTTCAGATGGTGCTGTTGGCAAGGTGTGAGGGGCACTGCAGTCAGCCCTCCCGCTCAGAGCCTCTGGTCTCCTTCAGCACGGTCCTGAAACAGCCCTTCCGCTCTACCTGTCACTGCTGCCGACCCCAGACCTCCAAACTGAAGGCCCTGAGGCTTCGATGCTCCGGGGGAATGAGACTCACAGCCACCTATCGGTACATCCTCTCCTGCCACTGTGAAGAGTGCAGCTCCTAAGGCTTGCCTACGGGAGGTGCTGTAGGACTGGCTGTTGTGGTGGCTGCAGCTGTGGGGTCCTGGAAGCCCAAAGGACAGGCGGCTGCATGACCCAGCAGGAAAACTTCTCCCAGTTAAGGCACTGGGAATAGAAAGGGAATAGACAGAGGCAGGAAAGAAGTAACACTTTCTGAACTGGACGATTCGTGTTCTACTAACAGACATTATGATTTGTTCATAAAAAGGAAAACACTGGGGATTGGGTTTGGTATCTTTCTGGTTTCCTTCTCCCTCCCCCTACTCTACCTCCCCTTGGACCAAGTTCTTTCAGTAGTTTTTGAGATTCCTCTTTTCTCCATTTACTCTGAATGCTATCCACCCCTGAGCACCAGTGGGGAAAAGAAGACAGGCAATAAGCTGTCAGTCATCAGAGATGCCATGGAAGAAATGACATTGGGCAGAAGAAGACCCAAGCCTTGTCCATGGAGTCTTCTTAGACTGTTGAGCTTTCATCTCCATGTTACATTGATTTTGATTACGTTTGCTGCTGCTGCTGCTAAAAGTTGTCACTTGTCTATTCCAAACACCAAGTATGTGGACATGCTTGCCCAAGTTTAGCTGGCATTAAAAATAATTAACAAGAAAACTCAGGCTCTGTTTTGGGATGCTGGAATGTCTAGACCCTGTCAACTACCCGCCTCATTTAGGAATGGCTTAGGGCAAATACAATGATATCTATTTGGGCATTTACTTGTAGGATATCTAAATTAATTATGGCTGTCATCAGTCAAATGAGCATAAGGGCAGAATTTCAAAGACCTGTACAGATGCATGTGGAATAGTTATATTCATGTATACAAATGCTACGACTTCAGATATCGACCAATATGTATATGCACTATGGCTTAAGCAGCTGTATTTGTATGTTCTTCTAATCTCCCCTTTGTCTATATGAGACTTAGTTCTCTACCAGGTGCCAAACTGATGGCCTAACTCAGTTATTATTTCAGCTTATAAACACGACCCACAGATGCTTTTGTTCCTTGAGGCAATTATTACAGCCAGTTGGGGCTGCTATCAAATCTGTTAAATCAGAAATCCTTGATTTTAAGGAAAAATAAACTCTCTTAGGATTAATAACTGGAAAAAAAACCTTGTTATATATAATCTTGTCCAAACACCTTATTTTACAGATGAAGAAGCTGAGGTCCAGACTCGCTAAGTGATTTACCCAAAGCTATCCAGTCAGTGACTATCTAAATCAGGATTCAAACCCAGGTTATCTGACTAGCCACACAGTCTTCTTTCCCTATAGCACTATCTCCCACAATGGTTTCCTTAGTCAAACTATTGTTGACTTAGCCTATCATTCAAGCTTGAGGTTTAAAATGCAATAAGTCCTTGGTGGATCACAAAATCTACTTTAAGATACTTTACTAATTTAATAATTAAAATAACAGTTTAAAAAGTTAAAATAAAGCACTATTTGCATCTCCTGCAAAATCAACACAGCCAGTAGACCAGAAGGCATTCCTTGAGGGCTACAAGCCCTAAAATGGAGTGGTCACCCATCATTACCTGCCCCCTACCCCCTACCCCAGGCAAAGGTCTTTTATTGTTTCAAGTCGTAGAAAACCCTGACCTTCTTAAAGAAACATTCTAATTCACCTGCCAATTGCAGGGATTCTTAACCTTTTGTTGTGTCATGGAATGTTTTTAAATGCATAAACTAAATACATAGGATTACAAAGCAAACCAAAGTATTTTACTGAAGTAAAGGTGAAAATAAAGATATATATTTTTTTCCCATTTAAGTTCACAGAGCCTTGACATCTCTGTGGATTTCTTGGCAGGTCTGTGGACTCCAGGTTAAGAACCCCAGCTAGAACAGCTGACTGGGTGGGGCAGCCTAGAGGAAAGGGGAAGGGAAGCAGGGAAAAGGTTTCCCGCCCCCAAGGCTGCACAGAGCAGCAAAAGCCCACCTCAGAAATCCCTGCCTAAAACAAGCTCACCTCCTCCACCACCCTTCGCTCCAGAGGTCCATATAAAACCAAAGCAGCCCCTACTACTCAAATATTCTTCTACTTCCCTGCTGGGAATGCGTTTTCTTTCCCACTCAATGGCCTGTCATGATACGTACCATAACATCGAATGCATTTACCTAATTGGCATAGATACTGGGCAAACATCGCGGGAAGCATTTTTAGCCCATGAGACAAGGGAAGAAGGGTGTGCTAGGACACATAACAGAGTTATTTCTGAAATTAATAGTTTTTTGTGTTGTTTGTTTGTTTGTTTTTATGAGGGAGCAGGGGGTTGAAAGACTTGCAAAGTTTTGCTTTGGGGCTAGGAATGAAAGCGAATGAGGATAGTTTTCACAATGGGCAGGGTCGAAGGATATTCACCAATAGCACTGAAATCCTTTTGGTTCACTATAGCTCACACTCCAAAAGCCCTTCAAGCTTTATAAAATGCTACCTTCACAGGAGTCCTGTGAGTCAGGAAGTGGCAGAAGCTCTACCCCTTTACAAGTCAGCTGTCAGATTAAGGACTAGAATCTTGGCTTCCTGGCACTGATCCCAGTACTCTTACCATTTTCATTAATAATAGTAACAATAATAACAATAATTATAGCTTACATTTACAAAGCACTTCAAAGGGTTTTTTTGTTTGGGTTTTTATGGGGGGAGTGGGGGGCAAGGCAACTGGGTTTAAGTGACTTGCCCAGGGTCACACAGAAAGTTTGCAAACTCTTTGAGATGAGTACTGTTATTATCCTTATTTGACAGAGGAACAAACCAAATCTCAGAGAAGTGAAGGGACTCACAGTCACACATCTAATAGTGTCTAGGACAGAAGTTGGAACCAGGTCTTCCTAACTGAAATTGCAGTTATGTCATTGTGCTTGCAAACAGCACACCATGCTCAACTTCTTATTTCCTATCCATTCAAGGATATGTGCATCTCCAGAGAAGAAGAACCACCAGCACTTACCACACAAAAGCTAGTGGTCCTCAGAAAAGGATTCGGTAATATTGCTCAGGACTACCGGAAGTAACCATACTCAAAATGATTAGTACAAGCACTAACTCCTCCTTGAGCCCTTTAATTGACTCGTCACCAAAATTCCAAAGTGTGCTACATCATATATACAGACATGTCTTTCACATACTGATGTCATACATACAAAAGGAAATAATTGTATTTTGAATTTTAAAATTTCCAGTTGTAAATCAACAAAGTGAATATACTTTTCCTCTTGGGCATGTCTCAGAGTATGATCTGGTAGGAGCTGTGACTGGTGTTTTGGTGGTGTTGACCAGAACTTCTTATGAACGGGACAGAAGGGGCAGGAAAGAAGTTTCAAATGAATAATTCAGTAATAAGCCATAGAAGGAAGAAGAGGTTGAAATATCAAGGGTTTGGTACTATAGGAATGACAAACAAAAGCCCCCTTGAGAAGGAAAAAAAAACTTCCCATACATCTGAAGTTAGGATGTTTTAGATTCCGTAAGGAATCCTAACACCAGTTTGGTTGATTTGGACTGAATCAATCATAAGGGACTTTGAAAATATTTACATGAAGCATTAATGATCATTGAACCCAAGCCCTTTCTAATCTATTAATGGGGTACTTCTGAAGGAGTCATATACCAGATAAGGTATAAATAGCTAATAAACATTTAGTAAGCTCCAACTATGTGCCAGGCACCGTGCTAAGTAACCTCTGGGGATACAAAGAAAATCAAGACAGTTTCTACCCTCATAGTGCTCACAATCTAATGAGGGGAGACAACACATAAAAAGAAGCTGAAATGGAGGGAAGAATGAGAGAGGGACGTACATGGTGCCAGGCATGAGAAAGTCCTGCAGACTGATGGGAAATTATGAGAAGCCTGCTTTCACTTCTCCTTCTTAAATGGAGGATCTGGGAGGAGCTTTCCAAAGTCCACCCTCTACCCTCTCCCATCCGAGACAGGAAGGATGCCCCAGGGGCAGGGGGTAACAGAGGAGATGTCAGTTTTCAGAGTTGATGCAATCTTGCGGGAAGATGAGTTACTGGAGACTATGGTAAAGTCCAGGAGAGCAACCAGTGGAAAATTATGAGGTGACTGCCTAGGACCAGCCAAGGTTATGCCTATGAGTTAAATGCTCACCATAATTTTTGTACAAATAATTTCAACATCTTTACCATTATTCAGTTTAAGAAAAGCAGTGGAAAACACACTACCTTTAGACCAAAAGCTCCTGGGTTCAGATCCTTGTTCTACTATGTTCTCCTTATTTGGTCAATAAAATGAGGATGGTGACATTTTTACTACCTCTCTCAAAGAGTTACAGAGAGTAGAGTTTTGTATACTATAAAGTATACAAGTGTGAGCTTTTATTATTTATGATAAAGTTAACTAGGTAAATTCCTTCCTTACAATGGTTTATAAACTGAACTCTACTTATTTATTCATTAAGTAATAACACTAAATTGTTTACATAATATTCTGTTCGATCTGTGGTCCACTAAGAATAGTACATCTTCATCTATTGGTAAGAAAGAATATCCAGGTTCTAGTGCTAGTTCTATCATGGATTACATGTGTGAACTTGGGAAAGTCCCCTAAACTCTCTAGATGTCAGTTCTGCAACCTCTATAAAATGAGGTGATCTTTAGAAAGTCTATTCTAGCACAAAGAGTCTCCGGTTGTAAAGCTATGACATTTCTAGGCATCTGCCTTCTTACAATTAGAATTTTTATAAATTACTTATTAGATTATTATTAGACTTTTTATTTTGGGTTATATATAATTTATATATATATATATATATATATATATATTTTTGGTTATAATTTTGGTTCTAGAAATCCCCTTTTAAGATCCATTCTTGGTAACTATTAGAAGGATCTGGAAAACATGTCATAGGATAATAAGATGAAACTTCAGATATCAGATCTTCTCCAGCCATAGAGATTATCTAATTCAGATGAAGAAACTAAGATTGCCTATAATTTCTCCTGTGTGGCAGCTTCCCTTGGAGAAAAAGTAAAGAAATACCTTTACTACTGTTGAATAAATTAACCTTCTTTGATTTGTGAGTTCCCCACTTGACACCCAAATCTAACTGCTTTTTATTTCAGCATACACTATCTTGGTTTTTGATTCTACATTATAACCTAGTCATCTTAAAATAGATGGAAATATGTGAGCATAACAGTGCTATAATTCTTTCATATTCTTTTCAACAAATTTCCATATTGTCGAGATACCCTGCTATATTCCTTGAGTAAAAGAATTAAATTCTCTTCAGGACAATATTACTACTAAATAAATAAAAGTGAGTAGGTAGTATATAGCATAATATTTGGCTTGTTCTATCCACACATAGCAGGGGCCTATTAGGTTCTTTGTTTATCCCCCTACACCCTTACCGCATACTCAATATCAAGCCTAATTTGAAATTATTATAGCAATAGGACATGTAGGCCTCCTCTTTGTCTGAGAAATTAATTCACTGCATTACTGCTCCAGAGCATTCCTCTCGAAGGGTCATCCAATTACTCCAATTTACGTGTTCCACAAACTTTCCACACAACCTCTGAAATGTGCATACTCCTGGCCACATCTGGCCACATGGGGACAAGCCGTGTAAGCTAGTCCCTTATGCTGACAACTCATGTTTAATTTTAAATTCAAGACCAGTCAGATAGGAATTGAGGCCATGAGTAATAACAGTAATAACAACATAATAAATATATTTAGTATTTTGTATTAGTATATATTTAGTATTTAGTGTAGAATGTATTTGAACAATAGCATGTTGCCCAAACATAACCACTTCCCTTGTGACATCACTGGAACAGTAAAGTAGGACAGCTAAACTAAGGAAAGCTGAGTGTTCGTTCAAGTGACCCCCCAGAGAACAGGCGTCATTTAACTGACTGCATCAGTAGGACATGTCAAAGCATCTAAAAATTGATTAAAGTAATTCAGAGACAGCATATGGCATTTTTGAAAATTCATGGAGACACAAGACTCCCAAGACAGTGCAAAAATACCCGTATTTTTAGAAATGGTTGAGAAGTTTCTGCAAATGAGAGGACAGCTAGAGTTTAAATTTGATGCCTGAGAAGATACCAGATAAATTGCCAATCAATTCACTGCCACCTTAAAGAGCTTACCCTATTAGTTGCCAACATGATATGGTGAGGAATAGATAATTTCAGTTCCAAGTATGGTGGAAAGAACACTGCACCCAAGACAAGGTGGG